ATATATTTCATAACAATATATAATATTTCATAATATCATAGTTGTCATCAAATAATCAAATATTAAGCCAAATCATCAATAATTTTATTATGTTATAAACATCATTTTTTTTAAATATTGCATTACTTTTGAAAATATATTCGAATGGTCTTGCTTAATTCTTATCAAAATAAACATATCATTTTTTATGAAAAGTTTAAACCAAGACAATACTAGAATTCAATATGAACAAATGACAATGTGTGCGTATACATATTATCAAGTGATGATAAGTTTTTTTAAAATATTCGTAATAAAAAAAGTTAAAAATGTTGCTATAACCAGTAAAATGAAAGTATGTGCCCCACTAAATAAATTTTCCCTAAAATGCCTCTATTTACGGTCTCCGTAGTGGAGTAGTCCCTACCATTATTCACATGAAATTGTTCTTTATGGACCCGTTTTTCAACAAATTCAAACGGTGTCGAGAACTGGCCCACCAATTTTGAGCGCCCTAATTTTTTTTTCCACTTTTTGTCTTATGAATATTATGCCATTGATATAGAGTAGGGATCATATGAGAATAGCATCTTAGGAAAGAAATGAGAACTAATCAAGGCCATTGGATTGAAAGATTAACTCTTCTAATAAGATTATCCGTATAAGGGTAGCACGGTCTTTTTCTCCGATTTGGCTTCCAAATTAGAACCGTTCACTTTTCTTTCGGATCCAACATTCATTCTTTGTGTTATTTTGGTTTCCTCTTTCCACAATTGCTTCCGTCTCTATCTTACCCTAGCTCTCCTCTGCGTCTTTGTTCTCTGTGCCGTCCTCCGTCATTGTTGAATTCAGATTTCTAATACAAGGGCCATCATCGAAGAACAAATTTCTCCATCGTCATCAAGCTCCTGATTTTGAATACACGAGCCTTCTGTTTTTTATACGGATCAGACCAAGTGTTTTTAATTGCCTAAATTCTTAATTTATCTTCTGATATGTAATTAACTTTTCTGCTTACATTTTATTCTCCATGGATGCAAAAATAGTAGAATTCATCTAGTTAGTTACAATATTAGTTCTTTCTGTTTTGTATTTCTTGTTTGTGTTGTGTAACTAATCATACGTTTAATCTATATATTTATTTTTGGTTGTCTCTTGATTTTGAGCTTTGTGTTGATTATGTTGCTTTTTAATTTGGTTCATTGCACTAGCACAGTTTACCTCATGCACTTTCCGACATGTTTGATGCACCTTTTACAAGTTTAGGTTATGCTTCACAATTTTCATGCCATGTATATATTCTTACCTTCTGGTTCTCTTATTATGATTTTGACCTTTATTCGATTTTAGTTTACTCTTGATTTGATTCATCATTGCCCTATAACAGTTTAATTATTGCACTTTCACACATGTTTTATGCACCTTTAACCTTATTTGTCGTTTAGTAAATATGTTTTCTATAATAATAAAAATCATGATAGTTATCTATTTAATTTTCATCAAATGATAATAAATATGGTTTTAGATTAATTTTTTGATGCACTTTCCATGCTTTGTTCATGCATTTTCATTAGTTTTAAATTTATTCATTTACATATTCGATGCAGTGTTAATGGAACAACTATGATCCATTTGGACAAAAAAGTGCATCTAAGTTGCTTTTGTAAAAGGTGTCAATGTAAAACTCTAGAAAGTGTGATATAATAGTGAATTTGTGTATTTTATTTCTGATGCACATGATAAAAGTGCATTTCATTTTGTAAAAGAGGATGTATGTAGAACTTTTTTTGGAAAAAAAAGTTCTACATACATATAGAACTTTAGAACATGTTCTACAATTGTGCACTTTTGTATGCATTTGAAATGCACATTGTAGTTGTTAAATTGCACACTTATATTTCTGTTCTTTTTTTATTTGAAGTTGTTTTTATCTAAAACCTGTATAGAATTGCACAAATAATTAAAGTGTATGTTTGTGTTATAGAGAGTGCAAGGAAATGATATAAAGTTGCACTTTACAATAGTGCAAATAAATCTTAATTAACATATTATTTCTCTTTAGATTCATTTACATTGATGAGTGATGAGTTGATGACGGTTATTGAAAATACTAATTGTGCAAAAATATCCAAATATTCAATTAAATGATGTTGCATAATGTCACACATATAAGTGTATGTATTCAACATTGAAGTGAAAATGAACAAGATCGGGTGTTTCCTGAAAAAACATGCCCATGTTGATTCCACAAATGGAATATTGCATCTGAAAAAAGAGTAAACAAAAAAAATAATGCACAATTCGAATATGTGTGAGTGGTTATATAAAAACTTGCATAAAACTACGAATAAAGTACATGAATTCAATGTTAAAGTGCAAATGGATAAACTTTTGTTGATTCCATTAATGAAATATTACATCTCAAAAGCAAAAAACTAAACGTGAAATATATTAGTTGAATATATTCAAAAAAATCTTTTCTTTTTGTGAAATTCATATCTAAATTATAATAAAATCACAATATTGTAATTACAGTAAAATGCACTTTTATATTATAATCCTTGCACACCACAATTTTCCACTTATAATAAAAGTGCACATGTAAATTTCATAAATACACGTTTAAAATAAATATATGAGAATACTTAAATAAATATTTTCAAAAATTTCGATTAAGAGTGCACCCATTCACGATTGGAGTGCAAACAGATAAACTTATGTTTATTCCATTAATGAAATATTTTATATTAAAATAAAAAGTGAAAAAATTAGAAAAAAATGAAAAAGTGTAGAGGTGAAAGAGTGATAAACGGAAATATTGAAAATGTAACACCCCCAAATTTCCCACCCAAAAATAATACTTTATTCAAAAGAAATATCAACTCTATTTGAAAACATCAGCAGCGGAAAACAAAAAGGGAAATCGGGTGTTACCGCCACACTCGGTTCTCCCTTAACCGAGTGCACAGGCTAATCACCACAGAAACAATTAAACTCAATAAGTGTCTTGAAAATTAAATTACAATGTTATCTACTAATTACATTTTCTCTAGCGAAGGCTCTCTCGAAATCAACTTGAACTTCATCAAATCATCACCTGTACAAAATCAAGTACAGAAAGAAAAACAAAAGAAAACAAAAATTAGCAACAATGCTAAGTAAGTTCCACCTAACCCCATAAAATAATATAATTTAATATTTTTGAAAAATATTTATGAGGAAAAAAAAATCTTTTTAAAACAATTTATAAAATCTTCTCATAGCATAATTCCCTAGTAAAATAATAGTATCAAATATAAGTACATATTTCAAAACCAAAATAATTCCAAAATGCCAATGTACATAAACCACCAAATATTATCACAAAATACTTATAAAATACTTATAAAGGATATTCAACGTAATTAAACCGAATCAAATCAAAAGTATTTATACTCTAAAAATTCATAAATAATTTAATAATCCAATCTAATCTCAATCAATCCAAGAATTCAAATTCACCTCAAGTCCAATCCAATCAAATAATATTCACCTCAAATCAATATATCAAGTTCACCTCAAATCCTCAAAACCAACTCAAAGTTCAATTCACCTCAAAACTAATCAAAGCCAGTTCACCTCAAACCCAATCAAAGCTAGTGGAAGCCGAACTCCTACCTTAAGTGTGCACACCCCCTAAAAGGGATTCCAAACCCTTCGGGAAGTAAGAAGCCCGAGTAGTCAGGATTTTTCTACCAACTACACTACAATTAAGCTGGGATACTCCGCTTTTGGGAAGTACCCCTGGTGGATTTAGACTTATAGCCATTACCACTCACCAATACCACATTTATCCGGATGTGGCAAACCGACACCACAGATTTCTCTGGGTGCTCACCAAAAATCACAATTCATTCTCAAAGTTCCAAACCAATATCACAACCTCAACCAAAACGGATATGAAATCCAAACTCCACAAAATAATCCACAATGTAAAATATTAACTACAACAAATACACTTTAATGTACCATACATTAAAATTTCACAAAAGAGCCAAAATATAGAATACTTCACAATAGCTCAAATCCCAACAACAATTCACACGATTACTCAACATATATCCAATACCGAACACTCAAATCTCAAATATAATTTCTCAATAACAATTCATAACAATTTCCAAATACTCAAATAAAAATCTCAACCGCAACTAATTTAATACGTAAATGTAATTGCTAGAAATCTCATCAAATACTCAAATAATTCAAATAAATAATCATAAATAGATTTGCGAAGAAAAAGGTATAATTTTGGTTGACGTGAAACTTACCTCAAACTTCAAGTACTCTAGTGAAATCTTCTACCTTGCTCCTCGCTCATCTACCTTTTAAGAATATTAAAATTGTAATATCAATAATGACTTATATTTATTTCCGTCATTATTATTATTTTATATTATTTTTATTATCTTTTACTAACCGTTCGGCCAGTCCATATTATATCTTAATTACTTCGGTCCAGGAGTATATAATAACTAGGTACAGCCCAAAATAACTAAATAGTACGTAGCATCAATTCTTCTTCTTCTTTAGAAAGGAAAGAAAGGAATACGTATGTACTGTTCTCAGTCGTCGTCTTCGCCTTCGGCAACTAGACGCAGGGCCAACAGCGGCGACTTCGGCTCCTTCTTCCAGATGGCGTCGCAGTGTCACAGCGGCTAAACAGGTGCTTGGTTGACACGAACGAGCCGCTGCGATCTTCTTCCTCCTCCAGCGAAGGGATGGCCGTCAGTCCGGCCGGCTCTCAATGATAGGCTGTTCTTCTCACCTATCGACAGATAGCAGTAGTCTGATGATCGACGGCAGTGGGTGGTATCTCCGGCGTCTCTTTCTTCGTCGTGAAAACGACCTGGTAGTCCGGCAGTGATACACCGGCGTTCTTCCTCTCCAGCGAAGGAAACTGTCCGGCAAAATTAAATGTGTAAAATAACACGTACATTATGTTTTGGAGAAATCGTATACATACATATTCGTCCGTTGAAAATTCTCCGTGTTTTATTTATGCAGGTACGTTATACTATCGTATGTATGTGGCCGCATGTATATATGTGACATACGCACCATATGTATAATCATGAGTACGTGTTATGGATGTAAAATACGAATATGTATGTATACGATTTCTCCAAAACATAATGTACGTGTTATTTTACACATTTAATTTATTGAACACTCTTTTTAATTAATTTTTAAATAAAAGTCACTTTCATCATTAATTTAATTTTTGATCAGTTTTGAAATTTTAGTTTTTTTTTTAGTTAATGAAATTATCCATTTTATTTTATTCATTTTTTTTGGAGTGTCACAGAAAAATAATGGAGATACGGAGTATTAATCTTTGCACCATGTAGTTTTATTTTGTTGAATGATAGTGACACATTGACCAATGATTTCCTTCCCATATAGATAGTATGTATTGGTGCGTTGAACGGCCATTGAAACCTTTTACCCAAATGCCCCTCAATTACTAATGTTCATGCGGTCTAGCTTGCAATTCGAAGTCAGCACGTGCTATTCATGTGCAATTTATTCCTCCAAATTCTGTAATGCGAGCCACTCTATCGGAAGAATAAAGGGCCCAATTTTATTCTTATTTCTCTCATGAGTCTATGTTCTCACTTGAACCTTCCCCCATTGATATATTTGATACTTGACTATAAGTTTTTTCACTTTTAGCCCATTTATTATTGTGCAAAAGACACTTTTGATACATGGTTTTGAAATTTTCATATTTAGACCGTCGACTTTTATAAAAGTGACACTTTTGATCCTCCGATTATTATAATAGTGACATTTTTTGTCATTTACTAATTGTATCAAAATCATAGAGAAATGACTAAAAGTATCAATTTGGTAATACTTGGGAGACTAAACGCAGGGCCGGTCCTAGGGGGTGCAACAGGGGCGACCGTCCTAGGCCCAAGAAAATAACAAGAAAAAATAGGCCTAAAATACTTCTTTATATGTAGTGTGAGTAGGCTTCTTTTTTGTTTTTTAAACTTAATTAATTAGGCCCAAGATTTCATTTTTAAAATAAATGTAAAGAGGTGCGTATGTCTTAGTTGTCTTCACATCTCTATGTTTTATAATCCTTTTAAAATTTGCTGCTTTCTAACCAATTTATAGAAACAGCTGGTCTGCCTCTCATTAAGCCTAATGAAGTAAACATGTTTTAGGTTATTTAAGCTCATCTTATTTTAAATATAAGACTTCTTTTAAGCTTATGTAAAGAGGCAATATCTTTACATGGAGCTTTAAGGGAATAAATGAGACCCTTGATCGGTTGCTCCAACAGGTTTACTCATACAACAGGTAGAAGGGATGGAGTTTTTTCCATCCCTTAAAAACTCAGCCAAATTGCTCCTAAAACTCAGTCAATATTTTAATGCAGCGAGCCTTGCAAAATACCCCAACAAGGAGAGCTCTTTTCAAAGACATGGTATTCTAATTGCAGAGGTAATATCCAAAATTTAACTTACTTTACAATGGAGAAGAGCCAAGAAGTTGTACTCTCATATTCTTATGATCTTATCAACATTCCCATATCATGTGTACACTAGCAGTTTTACTCTCATATTATCATTTTTAGCAATATTTTTTCATCTTCATGTTAATATTTATCAATAAAAATGATTTTTTCAGTTTTAACCATTGACAAAGTATAGGATTTTATGCATTTTCAATAAACAGAGCTTAGAAGAGCGTTAAGGCAAAAGTAAAACAAAACAAAAGTATTCTGGTGGGATTCAACAACACTTTAATATGTGTCATGGTTATAATTTCATTGATTTGGTTATCTTTTTTAGTTCACTTGCAGGTTGCTTATAGGCAGGGGCGGATCTGGCCCATGGCCAGGGTGGGCCTAGGCCCATGCTCAAAAAATTATTATTATTAGTATATATATACTATGTATATATTAATATATAGTGTTTTAGTAGTCATGATATAAAAAAGCTAATGTCAATTTGTGAACATCAGTCAAGTTGGTCCAATGGAAGCACACTAATTATGTAACAAAAGGAGTCATGTTCGAGTCCCCTGGACACCATATTTATAATTTTTCATGCAACATGAGTAAATTTTTTGATACCCTTCCAAATTGTTGGGCTTTTGGTAACTGGTATGCAAAATTAGTTCAAATCATTTGGCTTTTGAATATTAGCTTGAAAAATTATTTAATTCGATTCATTAGAATTTCGAATATTAGTCAAAAAAATTAATTAGTTCACATCATTGGACAATTGAATATTGATTTGAAAAATTAATAAGTTCAATTCATTCTGCTTGGTAGGTGAAATTTAATTAGTTTACTTTTTTTTACATAGAGCATAGACTATGGAGTCAAAAGAAAATTGAATTTCCAGAAATCAATTTGAAAATTGGTATTGAACACGTCATTAACCAATGCGAGCCAATTTCGGTTAGATATCTATGGCTCTTTTAAGATAATTAAATTTTCGGTTTTTTTATATTTATTATTTTTTCTTTGACACTTCTTTTAAATTATATAACTAAATCTTGTAATTTGAACATTTTTTGCAAAATAAATTATGTATTGCTGATTAAAATTTGGCCCCACCTCAACACAAAAGCTAGATCCGCCCCTGCTTATAGGTATTCCTATGTATATTGGTTGAGTTAATTAAAACCATACTTACTCTTATAAGCAATGCTTATAGGTATTCTTATGTATTGGGTAACTGAAAATTTGCTTACCAAACTAAAAAACGGTCCATCTTGCCGTTACGGTCTATAGAATAAGACATCATGTTATAACGTTACTCCTGTGCATCCCTATCACGAGAATCACTTTATGTTACTCCTGTTGCATCACATTCCTAGTTGCTTAAAACTCATGTTATAGTTTCTTCTCAAACTATCTACAGGAAGCTACATTAGTTGCTGCCGCAGAGAAGAGGAAAAGGGGACAGAGCGTTATTGCAACTGCTAATTCGAAGAGCAGAAATGATGTTTCCCGTAAGTCTTATAACGTTACACTTCTTCCAGGTATTGGTGCTCTCAATTCTTGTTCTAACATGTGTGTATATATACCTAGAAAAGTACTCATTCATAGAGACAGAATCTCAACGGTTAGATTTAAGATGAAATAGTTACGGGCATGTTAAGTTTTGTGCATATATAATTACTTGTTTGAGCAAAAGTACCTTTATATCATACGTCATACATATTGAAGTTATTTCAACATGTGTGTATTGCTTGCAACTTGTTCTTCTGGGCATGTATTTTTTTGTCTGTAAACTTGCTTGCATGCTAATACTTTTAAAAGGTACTTGCAGGTTCCTTATCCGTTAACTTCACAGCATATTTCTTTTAATTTTACTGCATGAAAGAGTCTTATTAGATTCTGTTATCTATTTCTTTGTCCTAGAGCGTAGTTGCAGGTTCCTCTTTTCGCAATATAAAGGGTAGATGGTATATTTGCAATTATTTGGTTCTATAATATATATAATATGTGTGTATGTGTCTCAATATAGGCAAATATAGGTAGCATTCAAAGCAATGATTGAGAACGTTCATTTGAACAAGTTAAATATATCACCTCAAGCAAATGCGAAATGGACATCTATTCACTTGCATAAACGGAAATCATATCATTGTAATTTGAAGTGCATCGTCTACGATTGATGGTTACTTTTTAGCAACGATATTTTGGTGTTCTCACATAAACATTATTCATTATCGCTATATAATGTATCTTGATTTTATGTCTTTCAGATATTGAAAATTCACCAAGTAGGAAGCACTATGCTCTCATGTTGAAGATCTGGATGGAGTTTATAGCAGTTGGAGGATCTCAAATTAGTTTATTACAGATTTAGATGACTTTGTAATGTTGGAATGTGTATGACGTTCGAATTGTAAATGATAATTCTTTTTTAATAAAGAAGCGCTTTTTGATTTTTCATTCATTGTAATTTTTACATTTCAAGTAATAATCTTATATTTCGTGCACATATATATATATATATATATAATATAAATTTATTAATCATTAACATTTATGTGATACCAATGTATCATAAATTTAATTGATACTAATGTGTCAAAATATATAGTGATATTATTTTATCATAATTATTTATGATACATTAGTGTCATAAATTACTGACACTTTATTAGTGACACTAAATTTAGTGTCACAATTCCCGACTTTCTATGACACTTTTCTAGTGTCAGTAAAACTTTCTGTGACACTAATTTAGTGTCACTATAGACCGTTTTTCTAGTAGTGTGATCACTATAATTTGATGGAGTATATGGCGCAGGGACCCTCGGCCCACAGACTCCTACTTCTCTTACACAGGCCCATCAAGCCCAATGTGCACACAAAGCCCTAATATGGCGGCCGAAGTATGAAGAAGCCCACGGTGCACATATAGGTGCCTTCGCCCATATAGCCGAGTGCTCCAATTTCCACGGGGCAGCTAGATTTGAGCTTACAAAGCTATTGGGAGAAAAAGACAGAAAATAGGAGCCTTCGGCTCCTAGGCGCCCTCGGCACGTGAATAGCCTTCAGCCACACAAGAGCCTTTGGTCCCAGGATGCCCTTCGGCTACAGCACAATCAGCGAAGATTCCCTTTGGGGACAGACAACCACCACATTTAATGCGGTGTCACGTCCAACCACCGCATTTAATGCGGTGCACATGCAGATGCCGATGCCACCCCGATTGAGGTGACCCTCGGCCGTTGGATTAGCGACATGTGTACGCGCTTATCATCAACTTGCCTACTCTCTTCATCCTAATTGGATGGTCTGATTGCGGTTTACGAGGTTGATCGATGATAAAATCAAATGAATTTGTAGTAAAAAAATTACATATTCAGAATAGGCTAAAGGGTCAAATAGACCCTTGAACTAACTTAAAGTGTTCAATTAGACCCTTATATAGGAGGTTCTGCCCGGCCGTTGCCAATTGGGGCGGTTCCCGGGGAATTTTTTGATGAAATTTTTTGAGCATCTTCTTCATTAAGTCTAGTTTACCCATATAAATTTCAGCTAAAAATTCAACCTGGAAGGCAGTCAAATGATTTTCCGAAATATACTGCGTTGTTTAACTGCGCAGTTATCTTTAAAAATTCATTTGTCTGTCTTCCCGGTTGAATTTTCAGCTGCAATTTGGTATGAGTAACTAGACTTAATGAAGAAAATGCTCAAAAAATTTCATCAAAAAATCCCACAGGGAAACGACCTAATTGGCGACGGCCGGGCAGAACCTCCTATATAAGGGGCTAATTGAACACTTTAAGTTAGTTCAAGGGTCTATTTGACTCTTTAGCCTTCAGAAAATGCATTAAAATGTTTACATAGTCGCAAAAACATATATCATATGTGATATAATTAAATCCTATTTAAGAAATTTTCTTCAATCCTTACTCATTTTGACTCCACGTGTGTATTAGAAAATGAAGAGAGAGAAATTCAAAATTTCAATAAATTAGGGCTTTATTTTAATTTAAAAAAACCCAACAATCCATATAGACATGGAATTTGGCAGTAAATTGAAAGAAATAACAGCAAAGCCATGACTTTTGATGAGTTATACCCGAATGTTTCTTTTAAGGGACTAAATAATCCAATGCAAGGAACATAATATTTTGGACTAGAGTATATATTTAGTCTTATTTTTGAATTTTGTCCATCTTTTAGTTTTATATTAAGTAATTTCTTAAAATTGAATTGGTCTATATAGTTGGTGTAAAAACAGAGAAGCAATATCAACAAATAAATAATTCCTTGAAATTTTGTAGACATCTAAAATATGGGACACAAGTACTTGAAAGAAAAATTTGTTATCCCTTCATTGAATGCTAAAGAACAAGCGGAATTGAAGTACAAATTTTAAACCTTTTTGGTGTTAGGGTGTTTTTGTATTCAGCCCAGACCAGACCAGATCAGACCAGACCAGACTTCCGTAGTTATAAAATACACAGGGATCAGACGTTTACCAGACCAGACCAGATCAGACCAGACCAGCAAATTTCAGTCCGAAAAAAAAAATCCTTATTGGTGGAAAATAATGGCGTTCTCTATTCAATAATTTCTTAATTAAATGATAATGAAATATATAAGGTTTAAGAAAATAAAACACAACACCCGAAATAAGGTGGTTATAATTTAGTAACACTTTGAAAATTACCTCTCAATTATTCTTAGGTAGATTCTATGGTACTCATAAGGTCCCACACCTTTGTCCAAACCAGGCCAAACTAAACAGAAAACTTTCATATATGGTCAAATTTAGACGAGATCACAATAAAATTATATTTACACGATAACATCGGAACATTTAAATTAAAATCAGACTAGATTTAGATACATTCAACTTTCGAAAAATACAAAACCATCTTAAGCTATATTTAAAGCCCTAACACTAAAACTAGATGAGTATGTTGAATTTGTTAAGATTTATAAAAATTTGACCCAGACACCTACATTTATTAAATCTATACAATTATGGAAAATTATATTTACAAAATATTTTACTAATAAAACAAAGAAAAAATTATAGTGAAAAATACTCGCTTCGTCTCATTTCATCTGTCTTACTTTCTTTTTTTGGTTGTTTCAAAATGATTGTCATGCTACCTTTCAATCTTTTGATTAATAATTCTACCAAACCAAGAGAAGACACATAAAATGTAACAGACATAATAGTTGAAATTACGATAATCATCTACAATAAATACTAATAACCAATTTAGAAAATAATTCAAACATTACTTATTTTAATTACAAATATATTACTACATTAACTTATTTGGTCCGAAAATTGGATTAATGAAATGAATTTGTAAAGTACTTAAAAGTTAGAAGTCTTAGAACCATGGGCGGAGGGGGCGCCACTCAGGTCACCAGCTACCACCTAAACTTAGTAAAAAATGGTGTGTACATTTTTGGTGAAAATTTGTTTTGTATAGTATTGGCTGACTCAGCCGCCCGTTCTAGACCATCTCATCTCCCAAAGTGTGATTATTGTTTGCTCTTGAAATGGAAGTTTAGAACCCGTCTTTATCTCTATTCGGAATAAATTATTATTGTGTGCTTCTTGATCTCTTCTAAAGGCAAAAGGTCCAACACTAAAATTCTTGGTGGGTTAATGGGGTATGAACTGCAGATTCATTTTTTTTGGTATTTAAAACACCAAGTGTAATTTTAATTGTTTGCTATTATGAACTGGATACTTATTCACAACAAAATATAAGAATAAAATGGTTATACACTTATATATGTGAAATGTATTTCATTTGATTGAGATAAGATTATTTTGTCAATTTGTAATTAGGAAAAAAAATAGAAAAAATTTCATTTGGAAATGTGTGCAAACTCATCGCGTTATGCCAAATTTCATCATATATTGTTGGGGAGGATGTCATAACCATGGCCGTAGGGATAGGCAGCAGCGGCAGATGTGGTCGTGCGGCGGGACTGCAGCGGTAGGCAGCTGTGTGGCGCCGGTAGGGCGAGGCTAGGGTTGGAGAAAAGGAATAAGAGGTTAGGGTTTTATAGGTATAACATGCAAGAAGGGTATCTTAGACCATAAAAAAATTTGTTATTTATTTATTTATTAATTACGAAATTAATATAGTATTTTTTTTTTGGAATATTCTTATAAACCTACTCCCTCTGTCCCTAAATGTTGTTCCAATTGCGGATTACGAAGGTTGACCGACGATAAAGTTAAATGATCCATGTGAAAACTTGGATTATTTTTAGTAAATAAAATTTACATATTCAGAAACTACATTAAACCCGCTACAAAGCCTGCAAAAAATAATTCAACTTTTATAAAATTTTGATATAAAAAGTAAGAGTTTAAGAGTGATTTAAGTTGACCCTCGATAAGCAAAATAGAAATTCTTTTAGGGACTGAGGGAGTATTATAGTTATGCTCATGTTAATGCCAACATGATTGGGGTGAGACTTTAACCTGCGACCTCCTCTTTGGCAGATCAGTAGTGATTCAATCAGACCACAAAGTACTTGGCACATTAATTAAGTATTAATAATTTCAGCTTATAATTAATGGATTACACCACTTTTGACATGCTTCGTAATTGTTGTAATGCAAAGCAAAAAATAGGATCGTAACCGAGACTGGTCAGTCTTTGTCTGAAAATTTGAGGCTCGGGTCCTGGACTTCTTTATCGATTGTTCAGTCTTGATCCCGACGCAGAACCGCTACTTCCGACCCAGGTCTATCCACTAGAAATGACCGGTCTCTGGACTCTATATATATATATCCACCCCTACGTACACGGTACATCTCTCCATGCATGCATGCATATGCCACATTGAGAGAGGAAAGGGGAAAACAACTGAAATGCATGAGAGCTTCCACGCTTATTAACAACTTAATGATGGAATCTTTACACGCTCATTTTTACACCTGAGAAAATGATTACTTTTTAGTTGGACAATGTTGAATATGTTGTTTTGTTGATGACTAACCATACAGGTGGAACGGCGGACAGAACCGCTCACAGTTCCTTAAGCGACAAAGGACAAAACTAGTTCATGTGCTTACGTGATATAATTTGTGATTTAATTGGTGCACTCTTGGATTAATATGTGTGTACGTAATATAGCTTTTCATGCATGACCAAATTGACACCCACTTAAGTAATTGTGCTTTTAACTTTATAAAAAGTAATTGTGCTTTTTACTTTATGGAAAGTAATCTTGACTTGCTTGTAATATAAAGATAGTTGGCTTGAATTAATATATTTGCACCTACTTAATTATCTTTCGTATTTGGGTGCATGATTTATTTGGTTACTAGCTAATATACTTT